CGCCGCCGCCAAAGCGAAACGCGAAGCCCGCAAATCACAACTTCGCCCAGTCCGCAACGCCGCCGCACAACCACTCCCAACGTGTCCTCGATGTCAACGGACATTCCGGGCACGAATCGGACTTGTTGGACATCTCCGAACCAACTGCACCTCTCGAACTGCTCCAGCCATCGTCCCCCCACCCGCCTCTTCCTCCACTCTTCCACCAACTAACTCTGACACTCCTTCTGCACCACCAATTCCATCCTCCTCGTCCTCGTCGTCCTCCTCCCTCTCCACTGCCCCAGCGGCGGCCGTTCAGACTGCTGTCTCACACATCACCAACACCAACACACCAACCAACATCACCTCTTCCACCTCTCCCGATTCCAGTGATGAGGATCAGGACTACACCTGCCCTCACTGTGACCGCACCTTTACCTCCCACATCGGCCTGGTCGGTCACTTGCGAATCCATCGCACAGAGACTGGCGAACCAGTGCCTGGAGCACCAACCTACACCCACCGCACTCGCCTCCACTGCCCACAATGCCCTCGCACCTTCACACATCGCATGGGTCTATTCGGCCACATGCGCATCCACGAGAGCGGAATTGCCCGCCGCCTTGACACATCCACCCCGCCGAGCCCCACTCCCAATCCACCACCTTGTGCACCCACTAACCACTCCCCAACCGACATCGACGCCACCGACCTTACCACCCCTCACTCCTCCCCTTCCTCCTCCTCTTCCTCCATCACTGCCACAACGACGGCCGCTTCGGCGTCTTTCGCCCACGACCTCACCATAGCCGAACCTGACACAACAACAGGCACAACCCCTGCAACCTCCATCATCAGACGTGAGGGCCAGGGCTACATCTGCCCTCACTGCGATCGCACCTTCACCTCACGCATCGGCCTGGTCGGTCACTTGCGAATCCATCGCACAGAGACTGGCGAACCAGTGCCTGGAGCACCAACCTACACCCACCGCACTCGCCTCCAGTGCCCACACTGCCCTCGCACCTTCACGCATCGCATGGGTCTATTCGGTCACATGCGCATCCACGACGACCTGCGGTAGACAACCGCCGGTCACACCACACATTCCCTCACCCCCTACCCCCTAACACCATCACCCCACCAGACATCAACCCTCACACACCTCATGCACTCAACTGCCGCCTCCCACGCAAGCGGGAAGTGTGCATCTCGACTCGGTCCTCATGCGGTTTCGGCTGCACGGGTGACTTGTGTCCAAGACTATCCCGACACGTCAAGCGTCGTGGATAGGAAGGTTGCTGATTGAGGCCTGCTCTCGGTTCACGCAGTTCGTCACGTTGTGTGTGTGTGTGCTGTGTGTAGTGGCGGACTGGTGGGCTGGGGACGGGCTGAAGCAGCACCTTCCACGGCCTTCTCACGCAAGTGGGAGACACGCCGATTAACCCCCGTTGTGTGAAATCCTGGTGTTTGTGTGTGTATGGGGGGCCAGGTCGTGCTGTGGCGCGCGCAGGCATGGTCAGTCGACCATGTCAGCCACCGCGCCCATTCCCCACTCCAGTCTACTGACCGGCTCGGACGGTGGCTGGGGTGTGGGAATGGGAAGGGAGAGTGAGGTCGACGACTCAGCGCATTTTCCTCACTAAAATCAATCTGACGCGCTTGAAGCTATCACGGTGCGCTAAAAGCCGTGGCTTGGAAGGTTGCCAACTGACGGGGTACCTTGGACCTCCTCCTTGACTGGAGGCGGTCTGAGAGTCAGGCTGCAATGGCTCCTTTTTAATGTGGCCTTTATGGCATTCCCACCACAGCGTGGGATCCGAGCCAGGCGTTGGCGGCACGCCCAGGTGCGGCTTCGGCCGTGCCAGCCTCCAAATCTCTGTTGTGTTGGTTGAAATCCTGGTTATTGTTGTGTGGACCAGGGGGTGTGGTGGAACGCCAAGGTGAGGATCCGTCCGAGCCATCCACCTGCGGCCTCCCTCGTCTCCGGTCTTCTTGACTCTGTCTTGACACCGGACCCAGGCGGGGGAGGAGGAGAGAGTGTAGGTAGATGCTATGCAAGTCTACTGGCACTATAAACCCCTGCGCAAGTCACCGTCCCTGCTCCCACGGCTGCTGCAGCTGTGGGGCACACGGTGGACATCGTCGAAACCGACGGTCGAACTGTCGTGTGTGTGCCCTCAAAACGGGCCACGTGGTAGATGCGCTGCCCCAAAACGGGGGCCATATCGGAATCTGGCAGGCGTTATCTGTGCGCAATAACAAATGCCAACATTTGCGGGGTGCGCTGGCGGACCCTGTTGTCGGCATTCGTCGCACAACTGGACCACTGCCTCCACCCAATTGTTTTGTGGTCAAAATCCTGGTCTTGGTGAGTGGACCAGGGGTGCGGAGTGGAGCGCCAAGGCGAAGACCCGTCCGAGCCATCCACCTGCGGCCTCCCCCGTCTCCGGTCTTCTTGACTCTGTCTTGACACCGGGCCCAGTCGGGGGAGGAGGAGAGAGTGTAGGTAGATGCAGCGCAAGTCTACCGGCACTATAAACCCCTGCGCAAGTCACCGTCCCTGCTCCCACAATGCAGTCTGTGGGGCACACGGTGGTCATCGTCGAAACCGACGGTCGAACTGTCGTGTGTGTGTGTGTGTGTGTGTGTGTTTGCCCTCAAAAACGGGCCACGTGTTAGATGCGCTGGACCAACACGGGGGCCATATCGGAATCTGGCAGGCGTTATCTGTGCGCAATAACAAATGCCAACATTTGCGGGGTGCGCTGGCGGACCCTGTTGTCGGCAGTTGTCGCGCAACTGGGACCACTGACACCACCCCATTGGCATGTGATTCAAAATCCTGATCATTTGTTGTGTGGACCAGGGGGTGTGGAGTGGAGCGCCAAGGTGAGGATCCGTCCAAGCCATCCACCTGCGGCCTCCCTCGAACTTCACCGATGGTTCCCACCATCCTGGTCGTGTTCGACGATTAAGCTATCAATTCCAGCCTCATCTCGGATGAAAATTTCGCCACATTCAGGTTTCCCGGGGATGTTCTCTAGTGTGTAATAATTACGTGACGCCCCACATGGTAAGCACCCGGGGCACAAGCACGGACCGGAAATGCCACAACTTCCTAGCTCGCGAAGTCACCTCGCGCGGTCACGTGACGCTTGCATTCGCATGTACAAGCAGTCCACAAAAGCGACTGCCTCACAGTCAACTCTGATTGGTCAACAGCATTCAAATTCAAATCTTCCTCATTGCAATGGGAAGGAACGTGCGCACCCAGTCCGCGCATGCGCAAGCAACTCACCTCGTGGTCGTCATATAAATAAGACAGAGCTGCTGACTGCTTCGTCGTACACGCCTTCTCCCTCTCATCGTCTGCCTCCGGACAAAAAACACGCACCCGAAATGGCTGGCTGCTGCAAGGACTGCAAAGACGGCTGCGCCTGCTGTGATGGTTGCAAGACTGGCAAGGGCTGCAGCTGTTCGCCGGACAACTGTCCTTGCAAGAAGTGTCCCTGTTGCAAATCGGAATGCTGCTAGAACCATGCCCAAACCCGTCATTTTGAACTCATAAGTGATAATCATTTTTATCTTTATATATATATATATATCAACAACAAACCATTTCTCTTCTCCCTCTCACTGTCTTTCTTCCTCCGTATGGTGCTTGTGTCAGAGATCGGGTAGGTTTTAGGTGGTGGGTGTTGTGGAATCTGGCATAGGATATTCACTCAGGTTGGGTAAGATTGTTCCCTTTGGACCTCGTTTTTCACCCGATTTCACGCCGAATCCTGTCATGTCCGGTAGTTCAACGGCCTTCGAGAATATCCCCTCACCTCCCTCCCATGGATCACACGGTCGCTTTGAATTCCGCAGGGAAATTAACTTGTCTCGTTCTAGAAATTTCTTAGTGAGTCCGTGGGTCTGAGGAAGGCTTGAAGGGTGTTTCGTTTCCTCCACCGTCGGGAAATCAAAGTTGCAATCGGATCTTGCTGATATTTGATTGTGTAACATAGACGTTGATGTTTCTCCACGGGAATTCAAGCGGAGAAATCCATCGTTCGGTTAGAATGGGATAAGTTTCAGACTACTAGCATTACAGGCAAAAGCATAATATTCTTGGTTTCGTGCATTTCAATTTCTTTCGTACAAATGTTAGACTCAGTTGATTTAGTCGATTTCATGCTCAACACTGACCTCTGTTTTCCCTTAAAGACGGATTTTCCCGAGTTGTCATACGTGATGTCTCGGATAATTTGAGAGTGTTATTATTATCTTGAATGTGAAGTCAATCTTCACTAATACATTGATTTTTCCACATTAAATTTCGAGTCAGAATATTGAGCAACGATGTCCACGTTCTTTAAAATACTTCAAATAGTAAAACCTAATATAATCCTACTTAAGTTAACTGGGTGCTGTAAGCAACACGCCATTGGAATTGTTGGTCTGGCCCCATTGCTGAGGCGATATGTCACCCTATTGCCTTCTAACAAATAACTTGCATCACCGAGCGCATTCCTTTGACCTCTAATTGCATTGAAGAATTCCAAGTCGGCCCACGCACATTGTCGGTGGTTCGTCCTCAAACCTCTGCATCAATGAGTCACGGTAAGGTTAGGGTGTGTAGCCCCCCCCCCCCTGCGTGGTCGGTGTGCTTCATAAGGGTTTTGCCAAAGGAATTATGCAGGAATCAGATTTTGACATCCAATAGCTTTTTCAATATTAAAATGTCCGTTTTGTCCCACGGTCAGAGTTTGTCACGGCCGGGCAGAGCAGGGCTAAAAGCAATCAATGGGCAATTGTAGTTCTGGGCAATGATTGACAGCGTCATGGCATATTAAAATGCTGAAATTCTGCCTGGAGACGGTGCTGGCGTGTCGTAGCCGCAACGCAACGCGTTAGGACGCGAGTGGGACTCCGGTTGGGTCAGGGTGGCTGGAGGGCTTGAGTGAAGGCCTTCTAGAAGTGCAAAGTTGGGCTGGCATCCTGCCCTGTCATCGCAAGCGGACGTTGGCGCAAGCACTTAGACTGATTCCTCAAGACCGTGTGGACGACCCCGTGTGCTTGGATGACGTCTGCCGATGATCGCCGTCAACCAGGCGAGCTAGGATTACACTGGGTATGGGCTTTCCCGTGTCGTATTCTAGCCAATCAGGACGGTGTTCTCGCGTTCGTTTGTATGGACACCCAGTAGTCCGAAAAATACGGTATGGGAGCATGGAGAGGTCTAGAAGGACAGTCCATCCTTCCTGCGGATGTGAAGATGGTGAGGGCTTGAAAAGGATTATATTACACCAGCCGTCGGATGGATACGTGAAATAGCCGACTTCAGACAACATTGTGGGTTCTTTCAAAACCGCACTGCACGGAACTGCTGACGCATCCGTGTCTGGTAAACATTCTTCCATGTATGTCCTGATAAATGCTTCGGGAAAATCATTATTACGCTTTCAGTAAGGACGAATTCGAGTCAGATATGTAGCCCAACCTAATGTAAACAAATCCCAGCTGTAATACAGGACGGGTTGTAAGAGGCGTTTTTGCATGTGGAGCTGGGGAACGCACAGGTGACGAGGTCAAGTAGTTTTATGCAAAAGAGAAGCTAATGGGAATGCGCAGTTATACTTTGAATGGTTGTGAAATAGTTGCTGTAACCCCTTAACGTATCCCTAACCCCCAACTATACCCCTAATCCTAAACCCCAATCCCTGACCCCAACTTCAACAGTATTGTGTCCATCAGGTGGGGTCACCAAACCACATCTTACCAAATCATTCAAACACGAAGCTTTACTTTCGAGTAAAATGGTCGTTCACAACAAAAAACAACAAAGAATATGACTTCGATCCGTTAAACAACTTTTTCTTATAAGTTACCTCTTTAAGAAGCGCCTTAATATTGCACTCCGTTGATGGATTCCTATGTACTTTGCATTTTTGTACGGCGAGGCCAAGAAAACATTTGACACTTGACCTTTTTTTCACGTTCCTAATCAATGCTAATATTTTTCTACCGTAGACGTAAGAATATGCATTGCTCTATATATCGCGGTCATTTGCACTGTTCTTGCTCGATCTTAGACTC